CTTTTTTTTTTGAGCAGGGACTGCAATGCCCTAAGCCCTAGACCCCTAAACCCCTAAACCCTGTGGCCCTGTGGTAGGATCTTCGGGTTGGGTGGGGGGTACGCTTTAGGCAAGTGGTGTGGTGGTCAGGTGAAGGGCGGGAGGTGTCCTCACTGAGGGCTCCGCGCCATCGGCTGCCACAGTTTAGGTCCGTGGGGAAGTAGCCGCCCTCCTGGCATGTGGGGGTTTCCAAAAATAGGGGACCCCAATATAGTGCTCCAAGAAAGTAGGATCCTTGTTACAAGGACCCCAAAGTAAGGTACCCCTTATTTCGGAAAGTCCCATATGGGTTGAAATTCTTTGTTGCCAGGATGTCACTGAAGCTTTCAAGTCGCCCCAGTAGTTCCTAGGCTGAAGAAAAGCGCTGAACCCTCAACCCGAAACCCTACGCTATAAGCCCTAAACCCTAAACCCCTAAGCCCTAAGCCCTAAGCCCTAAACCCTAAACCCTGAACCCTAAACAAGCTTCTTGCAGGGCCTGAACCACAATCCGGCAAGCCCTCACCACCCGCCGGCTGTGAGATTCTTCGGGCTTCGGTGAACGCTAAACCGGAAGCCCGGACGCCCGAAGCCCGAAGCCCGGAAGCCCGAAACCCGGAATCCTAGACCGAGACCCCTGAGGTCGAGAAGATCCAGAGAAGCTCCGGAAACCCGTGCGCAAGTCCTTCTGCAACTCCTCACGCACCTCAGATCCGGGGCTATCGACGGTGTAGGGTTTAGGGTTAGGATTTCGGGTTCAGGGTTTAGGGTTTAGGGTACTTCTGAAGCCCTACACCCCAAAACCCCTAAACCCCAAACCCTGGACCCCGCAAACCCGGCACCCTACACCCCGCCAACCCTGAACCCTAGGGCTTAAGGTTGCTCATCGCAGGCATACTCTAATATACCCCAACACCCTATTCTAACGGCTAAACTGAAGGTTCCCATGTTCACCAGGTTTAGGGCTCGCGGTGTTCAGCAACTTACTACTCGGGGTCGCGGTCGGAATCTTCGGGGTTTAGCGCTTACAAGGTCGAGTAGCATGATTCATGCACAGAGTCCAGGGTATCCAGGACCCGGTGGTCAAACCCGCGATATGGTTTGTTGAAGGACGTGCTGAGGCCTGCAGCTTTGAGACGTCATCGTATTGTGGCAGAAAGCTGGAAGGGCAAAGCACTAAGGAGTCCACTCTGGGTAAGCATTGCTTGTCAATTCAAGCTAGTTACTTGTTCAGCCCACATCAGCCGAAACTGCAAAATGGACACCGCACGAGCCTATGTACCTCAGCGACCTAGGCTTTAAGATTTGTGGGTCGAGGGTGCAGATTTAAAGGCTTCTTCCCCCATGCCAGGAAAGCACGCCCCGACTTTCCAAATTCTTCACGGCCCGACCTTCTTAAAATGCACCTAAACCCTGGTCAACAAAGCCCTGAGCTCCCCAAAAACCCCTCAACCCTTCATACAGCGCTCACTTACAACAAGTCTAAGTCCTGGTTACCAGTGAAACCTGCCCAAAACCCACTACAACTTCAAGATAAGAACAATCCTCACGGTGAGAAGGACAAGGATACCTGCAAGAACGACCATACCACCACAAGGACTTATCATCACCATAACTAGACCTGTATTCGCAAAGCAAGTATCCTTCTTATTCTAATCACCATAAGTGCAACCCTAAACCCTGAACCCTAAACCCCAAATAAACCCTGAACCCTAAACCCGAAATAAACCCTAAACCCCAAATAAACCCCAAACCCTAAACTCGTCCCGCCTTCGAGTCGGCAGCCGACACCACTTTAGCCATCTTCCACCTTCGAGCTCCGAGCGGCTCCGGACTGCTTTAGGGCTTAGGCCTTGCGGTTAAGGGGGTCCCTTTGGTCCTTTTTGGGGTCTTTTTTAGGGTCCTTTTTAGGGTCCCTTCTAGGTTCAGGGCGACGGTTCAGGGTTTAGAGTTTAGGGTTTGGGGCTTAAGGGGGAGGCATTTGCAGCTCAGAGCTGTGGGACCTATAGTATAGGGGTGTGCTCAAGGGCCCCCTCCTTGGGCCGCTTTAGGGTTTAGGGTTTAGGGTTTAGGTTTAGGGTTTAGGGTTTAGGTTTAGGGTTTAGGGTTTAAGGTTTAGGGTTTAGGGTTTAGGGTTTAGGGTTTAGGGTGAACCCCATCCCTTACGGAGCCCTGGCCAGCACTTCTCTGCTTGAAAACCCTCACGTCGGCTTGAGCCCCAAGGAACTGCACTAAATCACACGAGTAGGAAAGGGTTTAGGGTTTAGGGTTTGGGGTTTAGGGTTTAGGGTTCATGATCACCACAAGAAAAGAAGAGCAAACAGCAAGACAGACTCATGGTAATGATAGGAAGAGGGATACGGGATAATCGCCTTTCGTCAGAATCGGCCCGGCCCTAACATAGGGGCCGTAACAATCCGAATAGGGTTGTGGTATATTATACCATAATTATGATAAGGACCCCCGAAAATAGTATAGGTAATTACTTAGGCCCCTAGATTAAGCCCCGAACCCGTCCCTGAAGCCAGAAGAAACCCTAAACCTTAAAACCCTAAAATCCTGAACCCTAAACCCTAAACCCTGAACCCTTTTTTTAATGAACCCAGGCTCTGTGCTATCAGCTGGGCAGCAGGCATGGCAATTGCACACCAAACCCTGAACCCGACACCCTAAACCCTAAAACCCTAAACCCTAAAGAAGAAGCCACGGATAGCTTGGGATGCTGCTCTGTCTCCAACAGGGCCATGGCAGATTCGGCCACGCCGTGCTTCTTCCAGATCTTCCGAGCCTTCTTTAAGGGCTTTTAGAGTTTAGGGTTTAGGGTATTTTCATTTTCCGGTTTGGGGCTCAAGGGTTTCAGGGTTGCAGGGTTTAGGGTTTACTGTTTAGGGTTTAAGGCCGGTCCCTTTTTAGGTCCCCGAGATAGTACGGCACCCTTATTACAAGGACCCTAAAAGGGACCTAAGTGAGAGAACTCCCCATGTTGGGTTCAGGTTTGGGACTCCAGGTTGACAGCCTGTGGGGATCTGCAGCTTTGTGGTGTTTAGGGTTTAGGGTTTAGAGTTTAGGGTTAAGGGTTTAGGGTTTAGGGTTAAGGGTTAAGGGTTTAGGGTTTACGTAGGGTTTAGGGTTTAGGGTTTAGGGTTTTCGTGGAGCTTTCGGAAACTTCAACCCCCCCACTTGGAAAAAAAGGGCTCCCGGCTTAAGGAAACGATGAGAAGACAAGGCAGATTCCTGAAGACAAGGACTTACCGCTCAGGGTGCAACACAGAAGCAGGACCCATGGGTTTAGGGTTTAGGGTCTAGGGTTTAGGGGTTTAGGGTTTAGGGTTTAGGGTTTTAGGGTTTAGGGTTTAGGGTTTTAGGGTTTAGGGTTTAGGGGTTTAGGCCCTTTGTGGGATAGTCCTTACCAGGACAGCCTGAAGCAGAAAACCCCTCAGACTCTACTAGCGAGGCTACCTGCATGCTATGGCTCTTGTAACCAAGAACAACTACAGTCGTCCGGCTCTGTCTCAGTCGACACAAATATCCCAAGACTCTTTCTTACATGCTAAACGCCCTAAACTTCTTGCGTACGAAACCCTAAACCCAAACTCTCTTACGGCAAACCCCGTTCTGTGCCCAAAGGCCTCCTCCACGCTTGGCCGCGCAGGCGCCTGCTTCCCCTGCTTGCGGCGAGGACGGCTCCGGGGGAGTAGGGTTTAGGGTTTAGG